GGGTTAAAAATAAACACCTGATCTCCATCTGCTCCGACCCCTGGGGACCAGCGGGTCTTCACACCGAGCTTGTGGTGTGTTACCAACAATCCTCCACTAGTCTCAGGTCTCTGCTTATGCATAAGTCTCTCCAAGATCTGATGTCCCCCCTCCTCCTCTCTCCCTTCTCTCACTCCCTCCCTCTCCTTCTCTCCCTCCCTCCCTCCCTCACTTCCTCTCTCTCACTCTCTCCCTCCTCCCTCCTCTCTCTGCAGGTTATGTGTAAATAGTGAAATATTTCTGTCCAGGTTTAAATGAGGAGCCGTAGTCCCTGCAGGTGATTCATACGTCTGCTCAACGACTGGATTTCAATCAACAGATTTATGGTCTGCAACCAGAGAGAGACCAGAGAGAGACCAGAGGGAGATCAGAGAGAGACCAGAGGGAGATCAGAGAGAGACCAGAGGGAGATCAGAGAGAGACCAGAGAGAGACAAGAGAGGGATCAGAGAGAGTTCAGAGAGAGACCAGAGTGAGACCAGAGATAGTTCAGAGCGAGACCAGAGAGAGACTAGAGAGGGACCAGGGAGAGAGACCTTAGAGAGACCCAAGAGAGACCCGAGAGAGACCAGAGAGAGACACACCAGACAGGTCAGGAGAAGACCGAGGACACAGAGGGACTGAGTCTCTCAGTGTGTGTGGAGAGGAGAGTTTGAGAAAGTCTGCTGCCCCCACCAATAGGATGAAGCGGAAGAAGTTGGATGGACTGATACTTCTTACAGAAATTGTCTTGTATACATTGAATGTGAAGAGGCTCTGTTCAACACAATTTTTTATTTCCAAACTGATTTTAAAGACTGTAGACAGCAGACTGCATAAGAAATATACATTTATACAATATTACATCATTTGGTGATTGTCCTGGAGTCAGTGAACAAGATAAAGTCACGTGGGAAAAGTTAGTGACAAAACAACCCCAAAGAGGAGCACTTATGAGCCTGAAGAAACACAAGAGATTCTGTTTGAGGTCGTTTTGTAGCAAATAAATCATCTTTACATGAACTCATTGACCAGAAGAGAAAACAGCAGTGGAACTTATAAAGATGAAGAAACACAAGAGATTCTGTTTGAGGTCGTTTTGTAGAAAGTTGGGAGCAATAGAAGTTAAATTGTTTTGGGACGTCAACACAACCCCAACAAGTAGCACTTTCTGCATTAAACACGTGCCAGGGTCACGTGGATGAACATATCCAAGGGAAACTATTGAAAATGGCGCAGTTGTTTGAGACTAAATTTACCAAAACAACCCCTAATAAAAGCACTTATAAACACAGAACCATGGGTGCTTCTGTTGGAGGTGTTTGTACTGTGAAAAAAGACTCTTGAAAGCAGTCCTCTGATTGACAGAAATACTGAATAAGGATCCAATGTCATGAGCTAACATCACATACGTCTCTGTGATCCATTCATAAACAACAGAAGTGTGAATTCAGACGTCAACACAACCCCAACAAGTAGCACTTACTGCTTTAGAGACAAGTCGGTGCATGTGCCAGGGTCATGTGGATGACTATACTCAGAGAAAACATTTATAACTCCTCAGAACTGGATTTTAGCTTTAGAGTAAGTCACAACAAAACAACCCCAAATGAAGCACTTATGAATCCAGAACCATGAGTGGCTCAGTGTGAGGTCCTCTTACTGTGTTTACAGACTGTAGACAGCAGACTGAATAAGAAATATACATTTATACAATAATACATCATTTGGTGATTGTCCTGGAGTCAGTGAACAAGATAAATTCACGCGGGAAAAGTTAGTGACAAAACAACCCCAAAGAGGAGCACTTATGAGCCTGAAGAAACACAAGAGATTCTGTTTGAGGTCGTTTTGTAGAAAGTTTGGAGCAATAGAAGAGGAATTGTTTTGGGACGTCAACAAAAACCCAACAAGTAGCACTTTCTGCATTAAACACAGGGTCATGTGCCGGGGTCACGTGGATGAACATATCCAAAGGAAACTATTGAAAATGGCGCAGTTGTTTTAGACTACATTTACCAAAACAACCCCTAATAAAAGCACTTATAAACACAGAACCATGGGTGCTTCTGTTGGAGGTGTTTGTACTGTGCAAAAAGACTCTTGAAAGCAGTCCTCTGATTGACAGAAATACTGAATAAGGATCCAATGTCATGAGCTAACATCACATACGTCTCTGTGATCCATTCATAAACAACAGAAGTGTGAATTCAGACGTCAACACAACCCCAACAAGTAGCACTTACTGCTTTAGAGACAAGTCGGTGCATGTGCCAGGGTCATGTGGATGACTATACTCATTTATAACTCGTCAGAACTGGATTTTATCTTTAGAGTAAGTCACAACAAAACAACCCCAAAGAGGAGCACTTATGAGCCTGAAGAAACACAAGAGATTCTGTTTGAGGTCGTTTTGTAGCAAATAAAATCATCTTTACATGAACTCATTGAACAGAAGAGAAAACAGCAGTGGAACTTATAAAGATGAAGAAACACAAGAGATTCTGTTTGAGCAACTTAATGTGGTCTCTCTGGGGAACGACAGAGTCAAAAATACTGTTAAAGTAATTAGACTGGATAAACTTACTGCTGCTGTTACTGATGCTGCTGTTACTGCTGATGCTGCTGTTACTGCTGCTGTTACTGATGCTGCTTTTGCTGCTGATGCTGCAGCTGCTACTGCTGTTACTGCTGCTGATGCTGCTGATTCTGTCTGACCCTGGAGCTGTTTAAGGCCTGTCCACCGTCACACCTTCTATTCAGGATGAACGATTGTGAAAGTGGCCAATCTCCTCTGAACCTGATTTATTTAAATATGTAAAAACACAAACAGTTCACAGTCAGAGAGACCAGAGGGAGACCCAAGGGAGACCAGAGAGAGACCAGAGGGAGACCAGAGGGAGACCAGAGAGAGACCAGAGAGGGACCAGAGAGAGACCAGAGAGAGACCAGAGAGAGACCAGAGAGAGACCAGAGAGAGATCAGAGAGAGATCAGAGAGAGACCAGAGAGAGAGACCAGAGAGAGACCAGAGAGAGAAAACAAAGAGACACCAGAGAGAGACCTGATAATTCAAAGTAGCTTTCAGCTCCAGAATCTGCCCAAACTTCTTCATGAACAAAATTTGAAGTGAATTCAGACGTCAACACGACCCCAACAAGTAGCACTTACTGCTTTAGAGACAAGTCGGTGCATGTGCCAGGGTCATGTGGATGACTATACTCAGAGAAAACATTTATAACTCCTCAGAACTGGATTTTAGCTTTAGAGTAAGTCACAACAAAACAACCCCAAATGAAGCACTTATGAATCCAGAACCATGAGTGGCTCAGTGTGAGGTCCTCTTACTGCGTTTACAGACTGCTGTCTACAGTTTAGCGGCCCCACCTGCGAAAATTAATCAGGGCAACCCCTGGTTAGGACTGTGATGGGAGACCTCTGAAAACACCAGGTGCTGTAGATGTGCAGCAACAGACCTGTGGTTGTGTTCTGAGGCCAATATGAGTTTTAGATAAATTAATAATATTTCACCTGTTTGTCACAAACATCCTGCTGCTGCTGTTGCTGCTGTTACTGCTGCTGCTGCTGCTGCTACTGTCTAACCTTGGACCTGTAGAGACCTCTCCACAGTTTCACCTTCTATTCAGAATGAACGACTGTGAAAGTGGCCAATCTCCTCTGAACCTGATTCATTTAAATATGTAAAAATACAAACAGTTCACAGTCAAAGAGACCAGAGAGAGACCAGAGGGAAACCAGAGGGAGACTAGAGGGAGACCAGAGGGAGACCAGAGGGAGACCAGAGGGAGACCAGAGAGAGACCAGAGAGAACAGAGAGAGGCCAAAGAGAGACCAGAGAGAGACCAGAGAGAGACCAGAGAGAGACCAGAGAGAGACCAGAGGGAGACCAGAGGGAGACCAGAGGGAGACCAGAGAGAGACCAGAGAGAACAGAGAGAGAGAACAGAGAGAGGCCAAAGAGAGACCAGAGAGAGACCAGAGAGATACCTGATAATTCAAAGTAGCTATCAGCTCCAGAATCTGCTCAAACTTCTTCATAAACAAAATTTGAAGTGAATAAGAAATATACATTGATACAATAATACATCATTTGGTGATTGTCCTGGAGTCAGTGAACAAGATAAAGTCACATGGGAAAGGTACTGACAAAACAACCCCAAAGAGGAGCACTTATGAGCCTGAAGAAACACAAGAGATTCTGTTTGAGGTCGTTTTGTAGAAAGTTTGGAGCAATAGAAGTGGAATTGTATTTGGACGTCAACAAAACCCCAACAAGTAGCACTTTCTGCATTAAACACAGGGTCATGTGCCGGGGTCACGTGGATGAACATATGCAAAGGAAACTATAGAAAATGGCTCAGTTGTTTGAGACGAAATTTACCAAAACAACCCCTAATAAAAGCCCTTATAAACACAGAACCATGGGTGCTTCTGTTGGAGGTGTTTGTACTGTGCAAAAAGACTCTTGAAAGCAGTGCACTGATTGACAGAAATACTGAATAAGGATCCAATGTCATGATCTAACATCACATACGTCTCTGTGATCCATTCATAAACAACAGAAGTGTGAATTCAGACGTCAACACAACCCCAACAAGTAGCACTTACTGCTTTAGAGACAAGTCGGTGCATGTGCCAGGGTCATGTGGATGACTATACTTAGAGAAAACATTTATAACTCCTCAGAACTGGATTTTAGCTTTAGAGTAAGTCACAACAAAACAACCCCAAAGAGGAGCACTTATGAGCCTGAAGAAACACAAGAGATTCTGTTTGAGGTTGTTTTGTAGCAAATAAAATCCTCTTTACATGAACTCATTGAACAGAAGAGAAAACAGCAGTGGAACTTATAAAGATGAAGAAACACAAGAGATTCTGTTTGAGCAACTTACTGTGGTCTCTCTGGGGAACGACAGAGTCAAAAATACTATGTTAAAGTAATTAGACTGGATAAACTTACTGCT